GTTAGTAAGTAGAAAGAGAGTAGAAGTGTAGAAGGAATATGTAAAAAAAGAGGAAGGAGGATAATGAAGAAAAAGATAAATAATGAGCGAGGAAAAAAAAAAGAAGGCGAAAAAGAAGGAGGAAGAATGGAGAGAAGGAAGGCCAAAGACAAGAAGAAAGAAAGAAAGATAGAGAGAGGAGAGAGACAGAGAGACAGAAAGAAAGAAGAAAAGAAAAGAGAAGAAGGTATTCGAGGAAAGAGAAGAAGAAAAAAATGCACATGAGAAAGTGCAAAGGAAAGAGAAAGAGACTGACCCCGACAGACAGAAGACAAAAAGAGACAGAAACAGCGAGAAATATACGAGCAAATATGAGCGCAAATGGTGACTATTCGTGTGGGGATAGTCAAAGACCCTAATGACCCAAGGGATAATCTTGAGGGGTCACCTGCGAACGGCGGAAAACATTTTAAAAAGCTGGGGGAAAGAGGGAAGGAGAGAGAGAGGGAATGGAGGGGGAGAAAAGAGGCAGAGAGTGACGTGAGAGAGAGGGGGAGAGGGAGAGAGAGGGTGGGAGGGAGGGAGAGAGACAGGCTGGGGAAGGATGAGAGAGAGGGAGAGAGAGGAGAGGAGAGAGATGACGAGAGAGAGAGAGAGGAGAGGAGGGAGAGAGAGAGAAGAGAGGGGGGGGAGGAGAGGATGAGAGAGAGGAGAGAGAGAGGAAGAGAGACTGAGAGCGGCGGGGGGAAGGTAGAGCGGGAGAGGGAGAGAGAGTGGGAGAGGAGAGAGAGAGAGAGAGAGAGAGGGGGGGGGGAGAGAGAGAGAGAGAGAGAGAGAGAGAGAGAGAGGGGGGGGGGGGGGGGGGAGAGAGAGGTCGGGAAACGAGAGAGAGAGAAGAGAGCGAGAGAGAGAGAAAGAGGAGAGAGAGAGAGTACGAGGAAGAGAGGGGGGGGAGAGACGGTGTGAGAGAGAGAGAGAGAGAGACATACAGACAGATTGACTGACTGACTGACTGACTGACTGACTGACTGACAGACAGGCCGACAGATACAGGGAGAGGGAGGGGGGAGGGAGAGGGAGAGCGAGACAGATAGACAGAAAGACACAGCAAGAGTGATAGACACATGTAAGCAGGAAGGCAGGCAGGCAGACAGAGAAGTAGGCAGACAAGCAAGCAAGCAAATAAACAACCAAGCAAGCAGGCAGGCAAACAGGCAAACAAACAAACAAATACATACAGAACAGACTTGAAGATAATAATAATAATAATAATAAAATCATAAATAAAACAGCCCTAGAACTAACACACAGAGGAACCTCAAACCTCACACACCAAAAGAAAATAAAAAGCAAAAATGAATAAATAAGAAAAAAAAAATAAATAAATAAAGAGAAGAAATCCTTTATTCTCAACCACACAATTCAACCACGAGAGGCCAACCATTATTTTAATTGAGCGAGAGATGGAGAGCGTGCAAGTGCAGCCGAGGGAAAGACAAGGCCAGAGTTGCATGACAGGAGAGGTGATGAAAGGGAGAAGGAAGTGGCAGAGAGGTGGAGGAAAGGGGAGGAGGGGGAAAATGTGATAGAAAGGAGGAAAGGGGAGGATGAAAGGGAGAAGGAAGTGGCAGAAAGGTGATGAAAGGGAGAAGGAAGTGGCAGAGAGCTGGAGGAAAGGGGAGGAGGGCGAAAATGTGATAGAAAGGAGGAAAGAGGAGGGTGGAAGGGAGAAGGAAGTGGCAGAGAGCTGGAGGAAAGGGGGAAAAGGGTGAAAATGTAATAGAAGGAGAAGGGAGTGAGAGAAGAGTGAAGGAGAAAGTAGTAATAGAGTGTAGAGGGAAATAAGAGAAAGATTGAAAATGTGATAGAAAGGAGAAAGTAGCGAGAAGGATGAAAGAAGGAATAAAAAGGAGAAAGCAGTAGTAAAGAGTTTAAGGAAATGGGAGAAAGGTTGAAAGATGTGATAAAAGGGAAACAGGAGTGAAAGAAGAGACAGAAAAGAGGAAGAAGGTGAAATAAGTGAGAAGAGGGTGACAGATGTAATAGATGGCTGAAAGGAATGATTGAAGAGGGAAGAAATAAAGATTAGAAAAGAGTAATAGAAGGGTGACAGAGTGATAAAGTGTAGAAAGAATAGTTGAAGAGCGAATGAAATGATATACGGGCTAGAGAAAGAACAGAAGCGAGGAAAGCGTGAAGGAGGAGGCAGAGGGGAGAAAGGAAGAAGCGTAGGGTGAGAGGAAGGATGAAAGGTGATTCACACTGCTCCTTCACGTCTCTGTTTCATCACGTCACGTCACCCTTCCGTCAGCCGAGCCATGTATTAACGTTGTTCATCACGTCACTGTCTCATCGTGAATCGTCGGGGATTTGTAACATTGGAAATGAATGATATGTTTTGAGTTATATCACGAATTATGAGAAATAACAGCATTTCATAGCATTTAAAAAGAAAATAATGTTTTTATTATTCAAATAATTATAACATCAATTATGGTTTATGAGTTTCTTACCTGATTTG